GACACAATGTAACACCAATAAAGGTACAAAGTACCGGAAGGCAAAGTGAACGATAGCAAGTTAGTGTAAACATATTGTGCTACAAAGTATATCCACTTGAATCACGTTTATAAAAACAGAGGCTTATTATTTATACAAAGATGAAATAAACAAGGCAATTGTTTCTTTAAGATGTGGCCACCCATATGAAATCACTTTTGTACATAACACAGACACCGCGTTGTCCAAATTATGTACAACAGAAATTAACAACAGACCAATCCAACGTGGTATTTTTTTTCTGTCTTCAGTCTTCAGTAGTTTACTTTCTATAGCAGCTCTCTGATCTAAACTGGAAGGGTGACTGTGACCTCACAGTCACTGCAGTGCAAATAAATATGGTGCTATACATGTACATCAAAACTTAGGCGCGAGTAAAAAATCATGCAGACTGGTTTAGAGGGTCCTCAGGCTGGCCGGTGGCGACATAGCACTGATGGTGTTTAGTGCTATGGGCTTGAAGGCACAGATGGAGGGTGCACACACGGCTGCTTCTGGAAGTCTGTTCCATATCCTGATGGTTCTTGGATAGAAAGTATAGGCATCAACATTAGAGCTTGGTTGTTGGTAGCATAGGGAATGGTTACGACGAGTGGAGGATGATATGTGCTGGAAGTGTGGTGGAAAGGGGATATTGACTAGTTGGTGCTGGATTTCGTAAAACATAACTGACTGGTTTAGGAGATGTCTGGTTTGGAGGCTGTCCCATTCAAGCTTTTGTATCATTGGTGTGACAGAGGTGGTCCTACGGAAGTCTTGGAATACATGTATATGCGCTGGATGTTTTCAAGGCGCTGACGTCTTTGTTGATGTGAGGGTTCCAGCTTCGCTTCCATACTCCAGTTGGGGTCTAACTAAGGAGAGGTATGCTTTGGCCTTAACATCACTGCTGCAAGCTGAAAGTGTTCTTCTTAACATGGCAAGGCTTCGACTGGCTTTAATTGTAGTTTTTCGACAATGAGTTGACCACTTCAGGTCACTAGAGATGGTGACACCAAGGTAGTCATGTTGTGATACTCTGTGCAGCTCTTCCCCATGGATGGAATATGAAAATAGGCGCCTTTCTTTGGCATGTCGGTGGGGTCTTCAACATTAAACACAGATTTGAACTGAGAGTTCAATGCAGCTGCTTTGGCAGAATCGGTGGCATGTAACTTTCCACTTGATTTCAACGGTGGTATATTTATGTTAGACGATGTGAAGTGAACAAATTATTGTTATGACCAACAAAAAATAACAGAGTGTTCAGCACTCATGCTGAGAAGTTGGGTAACAATGGCACAAGAACGTATTGACAGTGATATCTTCTGTACATTACTTGGTGTCAATGCATGGACACGAAGAAACAGCATGAAATCACACACCTCAACCAATAGCTGCGAATCCCGGGTTCAGGCCATGGTCATAGATGGCCCCTTACCTTACCCCTTACCTTGATAAAGATTGGAAAGGGACAGTTTGCCCTCTTGCAAGGGTCTTTGTACATAACTGTCGGACACCAAAAAATAAAAGCAATGTGAAACGGACATTTACATACATGTATAGCTCACCACCGGCTTGAGACTCACTAAAAAAAATGATTTTTGTAAAACAGTGCATGCTGGACACAATGTAAATGCAAATACTTTCATGTGTGTGTTCACATGTAATAATGATCATATTGAAATCCCAACTGAACCAGGTGGATGCCAAGAGTTATGTACGGAAATAGTGACCTTAGTTTCATAACAGAAATAGGCAAAATCATGTGGAATCTTTTTTTGTTGCTATAAATGATGGGGTCATATGAAAAGTTTACAGCTGATTTTTGTAAAAAAAAAAATCATTAGAGGTTCAAAGTCATGTTAAAAAAAATAAACTCTGTATGTATTACATAGAAATTCCTGTTTTTGGGCCTCATTTTCGTCTCCTAAATTCCATGAAAACAAAATCTTGGGATTGTTTCTTTCTTAAATGGTATCCCCTAGGTTACAAGCTTTAATATTAACCAGTTTTCAAACAAATTTAATCTCAGGAAAAGATATTTATTGAAGTAATTAGGGTTTATTTTCTTAAACTGAATGTGTTTTGGGTTTTTTTTCCCTACTGGACGACTGTCCTCAGCACCTAAAAATCTGTAAAACAACTAATAAAATTGGAAAGGCCTTACCAAAAGTGCAATGATAAATGTAAACCAGAGGTTGTAGGAACAACCACATGGTGTTTGGCTATCCTGTTTGAAACAATTACTGCAAACTGCGCCACACACATCAACTCAAAATGCATGTTCGACTTTAACATGGCACTAAAGGGCACGCTAACATTTTATGACGTCACCTGTAATATTTTTGTAAAGTAAAGCCTAGGCAAAGACTCACATCGGGGGAAGCAAGTTCACATCTTTTGCCAATTTCAAATTATTAGGCACTTTGGATTCAACCAAAAGGAAGGGTCACGTGATTTGACGCGCACAAGATAAAATGAAGATCATGTTTTATAATATCAATTCCCATAAAATTTAACTTCCGGTCTCTCACGGGTGATTTCTTATTTATTTCCAAAGATTAGCTTTATTAATCTTTCAAGTGACGTAATGACGTAATTAAAAAAAAAAATCAGTGGGTTGTGCATTCATGTATTGACAATTAAAGATCATATTTGTTTTTATTTTGACAAACAGTTATGGAAACGAATTTGGGGAGAATAATAATAAGAAGAAGAAGAATAGTAAATTCGTACAATAACATTAGGTGTTGGGCCGAACCTTAAACATGAAAGTGAAAGTGTTTTATAACAATCAAACATATTCCTATGTTCATTGAAAGATGCCAAACACAAATGAAGGCATGATCAGGTCTTCACCCAAAAGGTTCCCCTCTAGCAGCATATCAAAGTGTGTTAAATACAGGGCAAGTAAAAAAAAAGCGGAACCCAAACCCCCAAAACTATATTTCATGTTTAAAAAATATATATCACCAAAAATAATCATGAATGGAAAGCCAATTTCATAAGCTACTTTTAGATGAAAAAAATTACTTAAATTGCTCAATCCCTTCAAAGAATATCAACATTTAAACACAATGACCCTAAACCTCTTTCGTCCAAAATTGTGAGTTCAAGAATTGTCATCACATTTGTCTTCCAACATCACCAGCTATAAAACCTCGGTTAAAAAGTTTAAAATATTCAACAAGGTCTTTTTGAAGGCTCGTCTTTTTTTAAAAAGTGGATTTTATAAATCATATTGTTTGCCTAAGCACGGTTGTTAAAAAAGATATTGTGATCTACGGTTGTTGACAGTTGTTGAAGCAAGTATTTTGTGTCATTTTCTTTGTTGTTCCCAGTGGCGTAGCCAGGAATTTTTCAGTGGGGGGGGGGGGGGGGGGGGGGGGCTGGAACATTTCCTTGGGGGCGTCATGTAGATAAATGATAATTTTTTTAGAAACTCAAAATCTCAGTGGGGGAGGCGACGGGGGCGACAAGGTTTCATGGGGGGGGGGGTGTTTTCTATAGCAAGTGCAGTGTTTTGGTGTGCTGTGTGATATAAATATTTAAAACATAGGCGTGTACTAGTGAAGGTAATTTGCATGCGAGTTCATTATTTAGCTCAGAGAACCATTATTTAATATATAATGGTTTTGCTGTTGTCTGGTTCCCTGGTTTGCTGAATAAATAAATAAATAAATAAAGTGTGCAAAAAATTATATATAAATAATAAGGTATCAAATAAATTATATAATAAATCATTAAAGCGTACAAAAAAAATATATATAAATAATGAGGTACCAAATAAATCATATATAAATAAATAAAGTTATCAAAAAATGTATATAAATAAAAAGGTATTAAATAAATTTTATATAAATTAAAAAAGTGTGCATAAAATTATATATAAATAATAAGGTTGCAAATGAATTATATATATATATAATTCTAGTGTGCCCAAAATTATATGTTAATCATTCGGTTGCAAAAAAAAATTATATATAAATAATGCAGTGGCAAATAAATTTATTTACATATAATGCAAAACTGCCAAATAATTATTTACATATAATTGTTCGGAAAACTGAATTATATAATAAGTAATGAATTATATAGAAATAATTTATTTACACATGGCGCCTCATATGGGCCAGGCTCCTCTCATTCATTTGTCAATAAAGTTAGCCTCTCTGCTCGCAGCAGCTACTGCTAGGCGCAGCAGCGAAAACCACGCGCTGACTCTGAAACCGGGGCATATTCGCTGGAACCAAGCGGGGTCCACCTGATCCCAAAAGCGTCCTTTCTGACAAAAAAATAAGACAGCAGGGTTAAGTCCTCCTGATATTTTTGTCTAAAAAATTGGGTCTACCTCCTCTGTCCCCTCAGACAAATGATCGTGCCCCGTGGGATCCCTGAAATGGTATTTGGCATGCACTAAAGCACTCAGGGGTGATTGCATGCAGCTTTTTATTACAACCACGCAGCCGCATGGCCCGCCTCAAGGGACACCATTGCACGTTAGGTAGTATCAGCAATCAAATTCGCTAACTCGGACTGGCCGTCCAAAAGGGATGCCACTGTCCAAGGCCTTGTCCGGGCCCATGATGTACGTGCCGTCTGGACATTTTTTAGGGGGGTCCCTATCTCAGAAATTTCACAGAAAGCATGTTGGAAGTCGGCCTCGAAAATCGGAAGTATGTATGATTTTTCAATTAATTGAAAAGGGCTTACTATCTGGACAGTGATAATTTAGCCTTTTCCATCTTACATCCCAGACAAAATTATGACTGGAGTATTTGTTTTTCTAGAAAGTCTCTGCTATGGGGTGGTGCATTTTGTATCAGTGAATTTCTTCCTGATGCACTTCATATTGATCTGTTCATCGTACAGACAAAGACCTCTATACCGGTTCTTGCTTAAAACTGGTATAGAGGTTATACAGGTACTTGCTTAAAACAAACTTCATATCCCAATTTCCTTTTGGATTTTTTTCATAGTCATTTGGGAAGTCGTGTTCAAGTTGGCTCCCCAGTAACCATGAGACTGTTGCAGTTACCTGCCATTAACTTGGAAGATGAGAAGAGACAGCAGCATGATGTATCCCGCAAACCTCTGAACTGGGAGGAAGACATGCAGCTGTATTCAAAGTTTCTTGATAAGAAGGTAAATGTGTGCCTCTTAGATGTGAACATAGAATATTTAATTGACCTTTTTTATATCCTTGTACAATAAGAATTAAGAGAAAATAGTAAAAGTTGTATTAAGTGTGAGCTAGTTCTACCAATCCACACAACTTTCCTCGCTGTATCCCCTAATGAAGTTTCAGGGGACACTTAAGCGTAGTAAAAAAAAAAACACCAGTTAATCGTCCCCGCCCCATCCTTTTTTGAAGTCGCCTCCTTTATTTTTAACAAGCTGATTTACCCGATCATAGATCGGGTAGGGCGTAGTGTTGGGGATGAAAATTTGGGGAGTTAAATGTAAATGGGGATATAGTTAACGAGACATGCAGTTATAGAAAAGCAATTTCTGTGGTGTGATGCGAGGCAATTTTTGACCACTAAAACCAATTTCAGCAAAAGATCATCTTGTAAAGTTTTGAGTTTGGAGCAATTGAATCAGCTACATGTATTCTGAGCAATAGAATCATTGTTGTAGGCTACAATTTTTATTCGGGGAAGAAAAAGTGTGTGGGGGGGAACCAAACAATATCCACCGCTTTAAAATGGGGGGGGGGGGTCCCCCTGTCCACCGTCGATTTACGCACATGATAATTATGTACCATGGCAACTGTCTGTAAATGTTCCCGTTGGTCTGTTAAATGGGCATTTTGTGAGGCAGTCGCATTTGGAAAACGCAGTGAAAAGGTTACCGTAGTACACAGGCGAAGGCTGATTGTACAGTTTTGACAATAAATCATAATGCAATAAAATGTAAAGGCGTCATTTGAAATGAAAATGTTGAGTGTTACCATAAAATTACAAACGATCATGGAGGAAGGTCATAATTAAGTTTCAGTATTGGACTCTTCAACAAACATAAACTTGAACTTCTTACAATTTGCGAGACCGTCTTCGAGGAAAAAAGTCGATTTAGCTTTTTATTGAAGTTGTTTCAACCATCTTTATAAGAGCAAGTTTTACTCGGCCTCCGAGAAATGTTTGCTCCTGAAAGGATCCGAGACCGCGGTCTCCCGCGACACCAAAATGGCTCCACGTCCGTGGGAAAATGTGGGTGTCTTCCGCCGGGTCGGACACTTTCGTCGATTTTTTTGTGAATGCATCGATCCTTCGTTGACCCCAAACAGGCCCCCGAAATTATAACACGACACTGAATTATACGTGGCGGGCAGCGAACTCACAACGCTCAGCCTTGGTAGTGGAAGCATGGAGCTGTAAACACATTATGGAAGCAACAGCACTCTATCATCACGCGACGTCACATGTTTGCGCTTCAAATAGCGAGCACCGTAGACCCAACCTCGTTTCCAGGGTGTGGAGCAGGCTGCAGTACGCGTTGCCATCAACAGTTTTGCATAGCCCGGAAATACTACGCAGTGTAGACTTTCGATTGGTCAGACCGCGCAAGGCATACTTAATGTGTAGTCCTTCTGAGTATTCGTTGCACTCGGCGCAGGGGCGGCAAGCGAAGCATACGAAAGAATAGGGGCACTTGGTGGCCACGCACCATAGAGAAAAAATATTTTACCAAGGTCACCCCATTCACAATTTGGTGAACGCTTTTGCAGAACGGCCGAGTAGAACACGTAAACGGAACCCCTACGTCGAAGCCGCTGACCTCGCACAGTCTAGACACGCAGAAAAGCCAGCACAGGGGGCGGCCAGGCAGTCAAAGTAAAAGCGCACACGACGGCAAATTCCTGCGCAAAATGCAGTCACGAAAAATAGACGAAAAGGATCGCCGGTCCGTACGGGAAAATCAGGACGACCCGAAGTGTCCAACCCGGCGGAAGACACCCTCCGTATTTTTCCACGGACGTGGAGCGATTTTGGCGCAGCGGGAGCCCGCGGTCTGGGATCCTTTCATGAGCAAACATCGTCTTGGAGGCCGAGTTAAACTCTCTCTTATATATATAGATTAGCTGTTTCGGTAACAGCTATTGTTTTTGTTATTTTTTTTTTACCTGTTCTAGCCTTGAATTCAAGGCTGTGATGTGCCATAATAGCTGGCAGAAAGGCCCAAGCTGGGCCGAGGAGCTGACAACAGCCTACCGGGCACCACATCGTCCACACATGGGGAAACTCTCCGATCGCACGCAAGCGAAGCCCACATTTATAGAGCCATATAAAAAAGGCTCTTTTGCAATAACTTTTGTTACATTTTTCACCCCAGCAAAATTAAAGTGGGCCTCTCCGTAGGCTCTTATTGACTACGCCTTTAACTTGAGAAATAACCTTTGGAACGCATTGGTCGTCACATCCCCAAACTCCCATCCGATTGTTTCATGGATTTTTCATTTCCTTAAATCTTTTTGTACAAGAAATCAAAGAAAATACCTTCTGTTTACATGAAGAACCGGTTTCATGAGGACCATATTTTCTGTCGAAGATTACAAGCGGAAATAAACCTTTTTTTCTTCACTTTTTTCACCAGGAGGAACTCAAGGGGGACCATGCTACCTACATGAGACACCACCCAGAGCTCAAAGCTCTCCTTGCCGACTTTCTGCAATTCCTTCTCTTACGCAAACCTGAGGATGTAGTAGCCTTCGCTGCCGACTACTTTGCCTCCTTTTCACCTACCACCAAGATTGGTAGCTCCTATGCAACCTCTAATGAGCCGAGGTACATCCCAAGGCCCAATTCGCCTTTTAAAAAGAGGCAGGAAGATGCAAAAGGCACATCCAGCTGAGTTCAGAAAAGCCACCATAACTTTTGTTTGTATTTTCAGGGTGAACTACAGTTAACATACCACAGATTCTAAAATGTTCATGACAGCTGTTACTTAGATTTTAGTGTCCAAACACTGCATAAGGACCAAAATCTATGTGTCCATCATGTGTAAAGCATAGTGCACACTGATGTGTACAAATCAGTTGTTGTAAAGCAGCGTGCATATGCCCCATATGTCCGTTTTGCGCATTGGGCCATCCATACTGCATTATCCATTAAAGTTGTATGAACTTAAGGTTGCAATTAAAATGGAAGATGCATAAAATATGTGAAACTAAAAAAAAGGGATGTAATGTTGTGGTAAAAAGATAAGTATAAATGATTGGCTTTACAAGGAGCAGTTTATAATCATCATCATCTAGCAGTCGCAATCAAAATCCCATTCACAATGCCACGCTAGGTGTCTTTATCCCTCATTATGCACAGAAGGTCTTCAATTTCACATTGGGGGTCTCTGCCAATCACATCAATGTAGTTGAAAGGTCTTTGTCCTCTTTTAGGGCATGGAAGTCTCCAACATAATACATCAGATATGACCTGGACTATAGCACGGTAGTAGCCAGCAAAGCGTACTCGTCGTTGAGCAACAATAGCACCTTGAGTGTCAGTTTTGACGGATTTGGCGCTATACAAGAATTCGTTATTATTGTTATTATCATTATTAATAGCAGAGATAGGTAGAATGTCTCCGTAAATCTGTTCTTCAGTCTTGTGCTCACACCACGAGATGTTCTGCACCTCATTGCCAGATGTTATGAAGCTTGGACCCAAGGTACTTGAAGTCACTGACCTCATTAACTTGTGTTCCGTCGTTGGTGTATATTGGGTGGTGGCTCTCATCCTCATTGATGGTCATGAACTCAATCTTCTAGTTTATATATGAATCTTATTGAAACAAACTATGTATATTCATACCCTGTGTACTTTATTGAGAAACTAAATCTTGTCAACATTAATTTCGTAAAATGTGTGCTTTACACTTGAGCTTTTACGAAATTACATACACATGCTTTTTCTGATGACGCATCATGGATGTGCAACTGGTAAACGTATTTCAGGCTAAATTTTAGCAACAACTTTCAGAAAATCAAAAGGCTTTAGCTTTGAATTCATAGAGCAGATAACAAAGGTACAATACATCATTTGTAATTTGAGCATTATGTTCGTTTGAAGCTATGCGATGTGCACTGAACGACGAATAATAGCAACCGGGCACGCTTTGCTGAATTAAAAATTGAACTACTAATGGAAATTTCCAATTATGTTGTCTTTAAACGCAAGACCATCTTTCATTGTTTTCTTTAAAATGACAGTTTGCCAGAGGGAGTTTAGTCCCATTGTTGTCTTTAAACCAAGTATGCTTTCAACAATAATTACATCAGTTACTTTTTGAGTAGCTGCAAATGATGAACTGTAGCTTTAAGAGTTTGTAAAAACATTGTGGTGCCAGATTGTACCCAGCAAGTAAACCATTGTTCTGGGTCATTATTGGCTTGTTTGAGTTTGTTTTGCAAAACTGCAGTTTCTACGAACCAAGATAAGAAATTGACCAAGGTTGTCTATTTTGAGGAAAGCAGTTCCTGGATGTTACAATGAAAGGAAATAGTACTATCAAAGTGAAAACTCAACATAGAGTATATAAAACATGTAACGTGCTTCTGAATGGTAAGGCCAGTCTTGCAAATGATGGTCCCAGTATTGCAGTGCAGCGTAGCCCAGCTGAGCTAGTTGCATCGACCGTGTAAACAAATTGACTTAAACCAGCTCTGATATTGATTAATTAAAGCGTTTGTTTCCAATATGCACCACCAAATATTTATTATGCTGTATTGATATGGTTATTTGTGAAGAGTAAAACCAAACAGTTGGTTGTTTTTTTTTGGTTGGATTGCTTTGTTTTTTCCTTAATTTATGGAGCAACCTTTGGTTTTTGTTCTGATTTGTTCTTCTCAATCTTCTATCCCAAATCCCACAGACCGTGTAGACGTTTCATTCTCAGTAGCACATTTGACATTAAACATAATTGGCATACATTAAGAACCCAAACAAAGTTACTTCTTGATGATTTCCTTAAAAATCATGTGATGTCATCTTAGAGGTCATTTTTCAATGGCCTAATATCTAGAGAACTACAAGGTCGGTTACTTTTTGAATTTTGTATGCACATAGTCAGGAGCATGTTATGCACCTATCCAATGTTATTTTCCCCCCCCCCCCGCACTGCCCCAGATCTCAGGCATGCTACTGGGAAATCACCCCAAAAAAAGAGGAAATTCACATTTTTCCTAGACGTTGCACAGTGTTTTTCTATTAATGGCACACATGGGAAGTAAAAAAAAAAGGAGGAAATAAGCTGATCCGAGGAAAAGTTGCCCGCGCATTTCTGTAGCGCCCTCTATTGATTAAAACTTACTTCATCCTCACTTAGTCTGGTTCCCAGACCAAAAGATTCTGACTATTCCTGATGGATCTTAGGTCAGGTCAATCTCGTCCCCAGTGCTTACTTTATTTCCAACCGCGTTTCCAATAGTAAACCCTAGATAGGAAACTTTCTTGCTGTATCCTGATTCGATACCGCAATTGGCCAGTAAGGGATTTTTATCGTGTACTTGGTGTTATTATTCACAACGTGCAGTACGTGTTTTCGCGATCATTCGTCCACGCCTTCTCGAAAATACTAATTTCCTTTCCAGTTTGTTCATATTAATATGAAATGTGATACTGCATGTTGTCTCGATAAGATCGTAAAAGTTTAATTTTCAAAAATCGTGTTTTCGTAACTCACGTCATGCTCGTGCTGCAACGAATTGACTCTGTTTTTACCCCAGACACCGCATACAAAAACAAACGCTAATCCAAGGCACCACACTGTTCCTCATTTGCATACGTGTGCAAAAATCTTGCACATGCAAATTGTCACAATCGTTTTTAATTCGCTTTGTTTCTGTTACGTAATTGTATTTATTACGCGCGCTACGGCTATCGCGCCACCCCCGTATTGTAAAGTAGATCATGCCAAAAGTTTTTCGCCAATCGTGTACGCACATTTTCCCGGTAGTTTCTTTTCCAGCCACTAAAAATTAAGGCATTGATTTGGTCAACCTGCTAAAACGCCGTGCGTCGAGTTACGTAATTATTATTGTCCGTGTGGCCATGGTTATTGATGTCCGTTTGTTTCTGTGAATGTGAGTATTGTGTGAAAGAATGTCGGTTGTTGTCAAGTAGAAGTTGTGTGCGTTTTCTGGTCAGTGCATTCTCTGATCGAGAGAGAAGACACACCAACAAATTTAAGAGATCAAAGCTGAGTGTGACAGAGACCGGTACCATCTTGCTAGGAGACGCCTTATACAGCAGGTTTTCGTCAGCGAATCGGTGAAACTGCCACCGATCTTGTCTGATCCGCCAGTTTGGCAAAATCAGTGCCAAAATAGTCTCGGCAAGGCTAAAAAGCCTTCAACAACACTCAGCCTTCACAAGCATCGCAATGAAGAAATAACCGTAAGTGTTGTATCCAATACCAAGGTGGGAGAGCAGGTTGTGGTGGGCGCGTACTGCTCGACACCTTGGGGACGAGGTTGGGGTCAGGTAGCCTCCGGTAATACATTGTATTACAATTTACGTGACGTGACTAAAACGGGAGGAATTCCTCCTTTTTCCGAAAATTTCTGAAGTTTGCCGAAGTCGTTTCGTCGACAATCGGATAGCGCCCGAGTATTTCCGAGTATATAATATTGGTTTAATTAACTGCTAATTGCTTATTAATTTTATTTTAAATGAGTTGATAATTAATATTCATTTTTTTCATTTAGAAAACTTGAAATTCATCGACGATTTTGTGCATCAAATATACTCGGATCGTTACGTGCGAACTTTTTGCAGCGTCATGTACAATTTTGAATTTGACGACCGTTACCGAGATTTTCCAAAACTCGGTCTTCATTCGGCTCCGCCTGCTAACAGTGCTATTTGGTTCCGTAATTTTGAAGATTCCAGATCAACATTACTCAATGTTATCTTACAAAAACATCAAACTGTAACTGTATGATATTACGAAGCAAGTGATTTATTTAAAGATTTGATCAGAACATTAAAAGCTACAAGTGATAAAGCGAAATCGGAAACGAAGCCGCGCTTTGAAACAGGGCCATTATAATGTCGTCATGTTTATTTTTAGCCACGGAGGCTGCCTGACCTCAACCTCGTCCCCAGGGTGTCGAGCAGTACGCGCCCACCACTACCTGCTCTCTCACCTTAGCGTTTGTTTTTGTATGCAGTGTCCGGGGTAAAAACAGAGTCAATTCGTAGCAGCGCGAGCACGGCGTGAGTTACGAAAACACGATTTTTGAAATCAAACTGTTACAATCTTATCGAGACGACATGCACTATCATATTTCATGTGAATATAAGCAAATTGGAAAGGAAATTAGTATTTTCGAGAAGGCGTGGACGAATGATCGCGAAAACACGTACTGCACGTTGTGAATAATAGCACCAAGTACACAATAAAAATCCATTACTAGCCAATTGCGGTATCGAATCAGGATACAGGAAGAAAGTTTTCTATCCAGGGTTTACTATTGGAAACGCGGTTGGAAATAAAGTAAGCACTGGGGACGAGGTTGGCCTGATCTACAATTTAAAGGGAATATACATCATTTGCTTTTGCTGTAATTTTCAGAAACGGATGGAATTAGGGGGTTGGAAATATATAGCAAATATAGTTACACTTACTTTTTTGAGGTTTTGGGTTCAAAAATGCTATAAAAACCAAGAAAAACGATCATTTTCCTGTAGTCTGGTTCCCTGACTCCATATAAGAAGAAACAGAGCAGTTTACATACATTGGGGAATTGTAAGGTCAGGGAACCAGTCTAGCTGGCTCGTACCCGTTCATAGGTTTGTAATCGATTGCAAACAAGTGCGATGGTCAACTGGGGCCAGTATTTGAAAAAAAAGCAAGTTGTTTCCAACGCTGATCGGCCGATCAGCGTTGGAAATTGATACAAAAATACCACTTTTCTTGAAAATGACAGTATACCAGGTACCATGATTTTACAGGATGCTTTACACTGTCATTCACTAACAGTCCAGCAAGGTATTTCAAAATGATTTGGTAGTTTTATTTTTTGATGTTTGCAAATGTTGTATTTTCCCTTTAAGACATGAGCGTCGGGAATAATTGTCAGGTCTTGGAACCAGACTACATGCCCACTCCGATCCGCTCGCATCCAGACATCCAATAACGCGCCCTCTATTGATTAAAATTTACGTCATGCCCACCCCGCATCCGCGCATCCAAGACAGGGTAGGTTGGGGATGGTTATAGATATAGGGAAATAAAGGAGTGGGTTTTTAGGGTAAATACAGTAGGATGTCCTGGGGTAAATAAAGCGCCCTCTATTGATGACTTCATGCTCATCCACCCCGCATCCAAGACATCCCAAGCCGTTTTACTCGGTATGTGCAACTACGTACTTGTCAATCATTCACTCTTTATAGCGCCCTCAATTGATCATGTTATACATGTTGTATACCCAAGTACGTACGCGTTAGCATGGGAGAAGTCTCATATGCACCAATGTTGCTTCGATCTCCAAAGAGTGTCCCACGTCAACGGACCCCACTCTCACATCGCATCTAACTACAAACAAATTACTTTTCCCCCAGGGTGGGGATTTTAGTCACTTAAAAACATTGTCATGAGAATGTCATTGTGTGATTATTTATTGCTTTTTATGTTTTCATCTCATTGGTTCAAGTCACGAGCAAAACATGCTTAAAGGGAAACTGCATCCTGGAATCCCCCAAAATTTGATGTTTTGGGTTGTTTACTTAGGCAATTCTCCATGGAATTCTCCATGGGAGAGCAACAAAAGTCAAAAATAAATATTTACATATAAAACCTTTTTTTAAGACCTTTCCCAGACCTCAATTAAATGGGGAATTCAGTTCAAAAAACGAAATTGAACAAAAATACATATTTCTGGTAAAAACAGTGATTTTTGCAATTTATGATTAAAAAAATAAAATTGTGTGTATGTATTACTTTCTGAATTATAGGGAAAAGATCTGATTTATTTTATGATGTTACAAGTTACTAGCATTACTCAGGGTCATTTAAAAAAATCTAAAAATATATATATATGTATATATGTATATATGTATATATATATATATGTATATAGTGTAGGCCTTCATTTAAAAATGTCAAAATTAGCACGTAATTCCGTTACCGAAAAAATGGCAAAAGTTTCTTATTTCACAAATTTTCTTATTTTTTTTTCTTCAAATCGTGTATGTTGAGAAAAGACCCTACTATAAACATAAATGAAAAATAAAAACCTTAAAATAGTAATTTCTTGGCATTTTTCCAAGTGGTAACGGAATTACGAAACGGTAACGGAATTACGGTAACGGAATTACGCATGCACAAAGTATGCACACTTCCTCCAGATTATGTACATGACGAATAGGAGATTTGCATGTAAGCTTGGACAATAACTTTAAATACTAAATTACTTGTTAAATCATTTCCCTCTTTAATTTGCTATTATACAATTAAAAATAATCAGGTGTTCCATTGATATTTTTTACTTTTACTTTTTCTTTTTTACTATTTACAAACTGCTAATACATGTAGTTGTTTGGATGCTTAAAGGGAATATACAACATTTGCAAACATCAGATAATAAAACCAAGTTTTTACGAAATACCTTACTAGGATGTTGGTAAATGATAGTCTTAAGCATCCTGTAAAATTATGGCACCTGGTGTGAAGTAATTTTCAAGAAAATGATATTTTGTATACATGTACATTTCCAATGGTGGTCGGCCGACCACCGTTGGAAAAACCCAACTATTTTTCAACTACTGCCCCAACTTTACATT